TTGTTGTTGTTGTTGTTGTTGTTGTTGTTGTTGTTGTTGTTGTTGTTGTTGAACACTATTACTTCTAAAGAATTATTATTGTTGGACCCCCTGGTGCACGCCCCCCGCCCAAAACCTAGGCCGCAGCTACATTTTCATCATTTTTCTGCGAAAGCTTCAGAAAAGTGGATTACCCCCGGATCCGGTTTTTTGTTGACGCTCGTTTTCCCTTGCAAAAAACAATAGAAAATGAAAATTCTTGTTCTTAGTTGATCAAATTTCAAGAATCCCTTGCAAAAAATAAGGTAAAGTGGACATTCGCGCTCGCAAGACGAAATCCTTCCAAAACCTTAGGTTTCGTAACGATTTTAACATAAAAACATCAAAAACCCAATGGTTTTTTAAGAAAAAATTGTCAAAATGTCCTTCCGCGCGCTCTTGCGGATTCATAGGAAACACACCACTTTTTAAACATTTCTGTCAAAAGGGTCTTTGCGTGCTACTTCTTCAGGTGCTTTGAACTTCTCCAACAACGGTTGCGCGCCTGCGAGGGCCACCATCCCTTGCAAAAAATGAGACGAAGTGCACATGCGCGCGGCCGCCGCGCGCGCATGTCGAAATCCTGCCAAACACAATGGGTTTTCAATAATTTCAAGATGCGATGTTCAGAAAACATATGAAAACGCACTACTTTCTCATCCGAAAAATCTCGAAATCCATTCGCGGTCTCTTGATGAATCTTTAAAACCCAAGATGGCCCCAACAGGCGCGCAAGATGGCCCCAAGAGGCGTCCATGAGGCCCAAAGAGGCGCCCAAGATGGTCCCAAGAGGCTTCAAGAGGACTCCAAGAGGCCCCCAAGAGGTTCCAGAGAGGCTCCAAGGTGGCTCCAAGAGACCCCCAAGATGGCCCCAGGAGGCGTTCTAGAGGCCCCAAGAGTCCGCCGTGAGGGTCCAATAAGCCCCCAAGAGGCCCCAAGATGGTTCCAAGGAGCCCCCCAAAGGCTCTCAAGTGGACCCCAAACCGCGCCAGGAGGCTTCCCCCCTTCCCCAAGAGGACCCCAAGCGGCCCCAGGAAGGCCCCCGACTGCTGACGCACATATCCGTAGCCATCTCGGATCAAGGTATCGCCTGTGTTCTTGGATCATGGCTTTGACGGCGAAAGACCTTCACGAGCAGTATGGCCCTGAGCTGTCGCGGCCTCCCTTGGCCGACTGCGAGAGTGCGTATTATTTGCATCAGGCGCTCCGGGCAAAGGGTATCAATGCTAGTCACCAGGCGTGCACTGTATAACATCAGTGTAACACATGTACTTCTGTAATCGCATCCCCACGAATTTGCCCCAAAAATGTGACCAACTATCTTGGCACTGCGTACCATCTCACGTGTACCGTGTACCACATCATATGTAACAGATGTGATCAACCTCTGTGGGTGTGTACCCCACGCCAGTGTAGTAGCCAGGGTCGTCCGCACGCCACGAAGTGAAGTGTCCCAACGTCATAGGGCGGGAAGCTGGGTGTGGGTGGTCTCGAAGAGTCGTTTGGATATTTGGTAGAGCTTGAACGGCCCCCCCCACGAAGTGGGGGTATTGGCTGGTGTCGCAAGAAAACCCTGGCACTGGGGAGAACACTGAGCGTTCGGGTAAAATGATTGTTGTTGTTGTTGTTGTTGTTGTTGTTTTTGTTGTTATTGCGTCCTGACGATCCTGAATTCATGGCAAAACACCATTCCAGGGATGTCAATACCGCGAATCAACGTGACTCTTGCGCCCTGACGTTCCCACATCGTTCTGGAACACCTTTCCTAAGGCGTCAACCATGAGAATATTTGAACTTGTTGGTTTTCTGTGACACGAATGTGCGCTGCGCTAATGCGAGAGCCACATGTTGAAATCGACCCGCCTCCCGGCACACCTTTGAGTTTTTAAGACGACTGTGCGTGACGCTGAGGCGAGAGCCACATTTTGAAACGGAACCACCCTCCATGCGTGAAGCTCTTGCAACCTTTCAAGACGAATGTGCGCGTCGCTAAGGCGACAGCCACATGTTGAAAGCGACCCGCCCTCCACTTGTCAAACTCTTGCACATATTGAAGACGAGTGTGCGCGGCGCTGAGGCGAGAGCCACACGTTGAAATAGAACCACCCTCCACGCTTGAAGCTCTCGCAAACTGTGAGACGAATGTGCGCAGCGCTGAGGCGAGAGCCACATGTTGAAAACGACCCCCCCTCCACTTGTGAAACCTTTGCACATTTGAAGACGAATGTGCGCGGTTCTAGGGAGGGAGCCACATGTTGGAAACAACCCGCCTTCCATCCCTGAAACTTTTGGAACTGTCAAGACGAGTGTTCGCGGCGCTACGGCGAGGGCCACATTCGAACCATTGCCCGCTTTCCATCAGGGAAACTCTTGACTGTGCGTGGCGCTAAGGCGAGAGCCGCACTTTGAAACCACCTGCCCTCCACGCTCGAAGCTCTTGCACATGCCCATTTCAAGCTTCAGGGTTAGAAATGATGAGGAAAGGTCCGGCGAAACGTCCATCCCGCCCTCGGTCGCGGTGCGACAAGGAGGCGTTGTTTGTAAGGGGTGGAGATGGAGGTGCAGGAGGAGGAGGAGGAGGAGGAGGAGGAGGAGGAGGAGGATGAGGAGGAGCAGGTGGAGGAGCGGGATGGATGGATGGATGGAGGGAGGGCGGGCGGGCGGGCTGGTTGGAGGGCGGGCGGGCGGGCGGCGGGCGGGCGGAGGAGGAGAAGGAGGAGGGAGGGAGGAGGAGGAGGAGGAGGAGGAGGAGCGGGAGGACAATGATGAGGGGGACAAGGGACGATGGAAGATTGATGAGGGAATGGGAGAGAAGGGATGAGGAGGGAGGAGATATTAGGGGGAAGCTGGAGAAGAAAGAGGATGAGGTTGAGGAGAGGGTCGAGAAGGAGGGCGAGGAGGAGACGGAGGAGGCGGAGGAGGAGGAGAAGGAGGAAAATGATGAGGAGGAGGTGGAGGTGAAGAAGGAGGAGAAGGGAGGAGGAGGAGGAGGAGGAGGTGGAGGTGAAGGAGGAGGAGGAGGAGGAGGAGGAGGAGGAGGAGGAGGGAGGAGGAGGCTGGAGGGACACAGTTTGTGAGCCTCCTGGGGGGGCACGGTCGCCACGGCTGGATTTGCTAATTCTGGGAAATGAGCAGGAGTCGTCCCCCCCCTCCCTCCCTCCTCCAATTTCCCCCTCCCTCCTCCTAGGGCCCAGCGCAACATTTCATCTGTGCTGTGACCAGTCCTTCTCTCCGCGCTCGGCTTGGGTCGTCCACCACCGCAGCCTGCCAGCAAGCTCGCGTCCGCAGGGGACGGGGGGAAAGGGCTGCAGCGTCGGGGCGTGGATGGCTCGCCTTCGGCCAGGGACTGGAACGGCTCGAGGGACTGGGGAGAGGAGCTCGGTTGAGCCCACTCTGGGCCAACGAGGGCGGGCTGGTGGGATGTGTATCCTCCTCCTCCTCCCCCTCCTCGTCCTCCTTCCTCATCACCTTCTCTATCGGTGAGGTTAAAGGGAAGGGGGGGGATGAGAAGGAGAAGTGGGAGAAGCACGTCGCTGCGCAGCTTCATCCGCGCGGGAGAAGAGGGATCCCGACCCGTATGCGACCTGCGTCCGCTCCCCAAACATCGACTGCGATCGGGGTGCCATTTTTTTATACTGCAAGCTCCGGTGTCCCACTTCGCGTGCCGTGCCGTGGCCAATTCTTGGGCACGAGGAAGGTGCCGCCCGCGAGCCGTGCCGCTCCTAAGTTTTCGCACGCGGCACGCGTGCCGCCCGCGTGCCGCGTGCCGTGGCGTGCCGTGCCGGCGTGCGTGTCGGTGTCGTGCCGTGCCTCGCCGCGTAGCACCCCGAGTTGCGTAATGCGCGTCGGGGGTCCTCCCTCCTCCCTCCTCCCTCCTCCCTCCTCCCTCCTCCGGCGTCGCCCCCGCCGACAGCCCCACGGCGACCCCCGTTGCGGGCAGCCTCTGCGCGCCGAAGGCGCTCCGACCGCCGCCGAGGCGCGACGACGAGGCGCGTCCGGGGGGGCGGGTGTACCTCCCCTCCCCTGGCTGGACCCGAACGGTGTTTTCGGTGATCTCGTGGGCCGTTTGCGTTTCGACTCCGTTTTTGCAGCAGAGGCGGAGTGGAGACGCCAGCGAGGGACAACGAACACAAGACGAAAAGGAACAAGCACCGTTCAGGTTCGGCCCTGTTCAGAAGCCCAGGGTGCGCGCCACAGTGGGAAACTGAACGAAAACGGAAAACACCGATGAGGTCCAGCCACAGTGGGAAAGCAAAGCGAAAGCAAAACGAACACCGAAAAGCGAAAACGAAAACCGTGGAAGCACAAAACAAAACCAAAACGAAACCAGAACGAAACAAAACGAAACCAAAGCGAAAAACGAACAACGAAAAACGAAGCGCCCAGGGTGCGCGCAACAGTGGCGCCGGGCCGCTCTTCGTGCCGCGGCCCGCGCGGCCCGCGTGCCGCGCGGGGGCCGTGCCACGCAGAGCGTGCGCCTGTGCCGAGAGGGGGCCTCGCCGTCGTCGTCGAGGGTCGGGGCGCGGGCGTCGCTGCCCCGGCGAGGGATTTGCGGCGGAGGGGCGGCGGCAGGGCCCGCGGGAGGGCATAGCGGCGAGGGCGGCGAGGGCGGGCGGGAGCCGGCGGAGGTGACGATGTGCCCTCCTAGATTTATGTCGGGCGTGTCCCCCCACAGGGGGATTGTCGACGAAAAATACAAATGCCAGAACAAATGCCCCAAACAGGTCAAAAAGTATTTAAAGATAGTCCCCAGATTATTTTTGGAGTATTTTTGGATTGTTTTTGGGGTATTTCTAATTTTTCGTCGAAAATCCCCCTGTAGAGGGACACGCCCGCCTTAAAGGTAACGATGTGCCCTCCTAGATACAGTGAGAAAATCCGTAGCAAGGACGGGTAACCTTCCCAAGGGCACCCTTACGTCCTTAGATTTGTTCGGCAGTGCGCCGCTGGAAAGGCTTCATCTGGGCGTCCAAGGACCGTCCAAGGGCCTTGCGTCCTTGCAGCGCGTCCTTGTTACAGATTTTGAGTGTACAGCTGTTTTGGGCTCAGGGTTTCCGGAACCTGCCACGTAGGCCTTTCATTTCCGATTGTGTTTTGGGTTTCTATGCACGCTGAGTTTCTGTGCACGGTTTATTTTTTGTCGTTTCCTGCTTTTGGGGGGAGTCGGCCAGGGCGCGGTTCTGTTCGTCGTGCGGCTGCTGCAGGGTGCAGGTGTTGCGCGGGCGGACCCGTTTCTGTTGCTGCGGCTGTTGCCGCTGCTGGTGTGGTTTTCGATGCTGTCAGCTATCCACTTGCCTGTTGTCGATGCTGTTAGTTCTCCACTTGCCTGCAGGTATGCATTACTTGACATGCGTAGTCGTACCAGATGCCGATTGTGTTTTCAATGTCTCTGTTGTGGCTAGTGCTGATACTGCGACGCTTGCTTGTACTACCCTCGTTGCTGTGCATCTCGCAAGTGCTTGCAGGACGCCCGCGTACCATGCCCGCCAGCCCGGCTTTGGTTGTGAAAGTGGACAGTGGTTCGCTGCGTGATATCAGGCCCCGGACCAAGCCTCCAGGTCGGTTTTGGAGTTCGCGCGGTGATCGCGGCGGCCACAACTCGGCCCAAGGTTTTTGTCACAGAGTGGCGTGCCCCTTCCCAGCCCCCCCCCGGCTCTGCGACGCAGACGTGGCCCATGATCAACAAAAGAGCGACAGAGAGTTAGCAATTTATGTCCGACATGGGCAGTCGCGTTTTTTGGTCAGAGGTCGATTGCCACGCAACCAGTGGCACCAGCCTGCGGCATCGCCGCGAGACGAGGAATGAGTCAGGCAGCGCTGCCTGAACCTTGATGGACCGATTTTCCACCACCGCTACCATAGGTACAGTGGAAACCCATGCCAAGAAACACCCTGCTTGCCTCCAGGGTACCTTGGGTTTTCTGGGTTTCGGTGGTTTTGCCATGGAAAGCGTCACGTTCCCACATTAAGAATCGATGGACGTCCTTCGGCTCCAGGGTTGGGTTTCTTGTGGAAGGTTTCTTGTGGTCGAGCTCCTACTGTAGGAGAGGGCGAAGCAGGAGCAGGAGGATGAGGAGGAGGAGGAGGAGGAGGAAGAGGAGGAGGAGGAGGAAGAGGAGGAGGAGGAGGACCTCCCCCATCCTCTCTTCTCTCCCGTCCTACCTGTGGTAGCGGTGGTGGAACATTGGCCCCTCAAACCTGTCGTCCCGTGCGCCCGTGGCGTCTACACCGAGGCAAGAGCATCTCCTCGGAGCAGATCGCCACGGCCAAGGCCCGGAGTGTGCGCCGCCACCGGGGGGAGGAGGAGGAGGAGGAGGAGGAGGAGGAGGAGGAGGAGGAGGAGGAGAGGAGGAGGAGGAGGAGGAGGAGGAGGAGAAGAGAGAGGAGGAGGAAGATGAGGAGGAGGAGGAGGAGGAGGAGGAGGAGGAGGAGGGGAGAGGGAGGTAGTTCAAGCATCGACGGCCCCGAAGCCTCCCTGCTGGCAGAGGGTGCACCTGTCGCCGTGCCGCTTGTTCCGACGCATGGCCTCGCGTCTCAGGGAGAGCGCCTCGGCCACCAGGGCAAACTGCGCATTTTGGCACACCCCTCACACGTTTCGTGGCCCCATAGGGAGCCCACCTAAGGTCCCAGTGGCGCAGTTCGCATGGCGCCGCCGCCTCATTTGGGCACACGGGTCGTCCGCTGCTCCGCGCAGCGGACGACCCGTGCGCGTCGCTGGGACCCCTTCGGGGCGACCGGCGTGCGTCGCGGGGACTCCGTGCGGCGCCGCGCCCGCAGCCTCGGACATGGGCGTGCACGGGCAAAGAGAGAGAAAAACAAAACGGGAAGGAAGCGGGCGCGATCCTCGGGAGGAGCGTGCCGACATGGGCGTCGACGTTTATGCACGTAGACTGATTCGCACGCAGATTCATTCACAATCAGACTCACTCGCGCTCAGTCTCTCGCACACAGACCTATCGTCTTCGCTCGCGTGGTGTGCCCCGCCACGCATTTCGGCACGCCCCTCACACGGTTCGTGGTCCCATAGGGGGCGAGGGCAAAGATGAGATTCATAATTGCGGTATTCACAACTGCATATGGTTGGGTCCTTCGCCAGGATCGTTTTTGTGGGCTATTTTTGAGCCTTCCTCCTGTAGAAGGACATTCAGGAGGATACTAAACACACAGACACAATTCATCGTCGATTCCCCCCGAAGATATGGGAAAATATGGGAAGTGGGGGGGAAGACAAAAACATAACAACTATGGGACACTATGGGGGATCCTGTTATTTGTGTAAATTTATTTGTGTGTCCCAGGGCCCCTTCAGACATGCCCGACCTAACGCTCGGAGCAGGGCGCGCCGGCGCACGCCGCCGCGGCAGCCCGGGCAGCGAGAGGCCGCTCCCCGCGGGCAGCTCGCGCGCCGCGACCGCGCTGCGGTGCAGCGCGCGGGCACCCCCCCGGGGCGGGCTGGCGGGCGCGAGCCGAGTCGAGGGTCGGAGGCCCCCAGGCGGCAGCTTATGGTGACCACGCCGTGCCCTGAGACCCTGGCTGCGGGACTGGAAAATGACCGCAGCCACTGCTTCTTGTCTGCGCCGCCTTCCAGCCGGCCGAAGAAGAAGCAGTGGTTGTGGCCATTTCCCCTGGTGCCAAGCTCAACGAAAATGACCACAACCACTGCTTTGTGTCTGCGGGCTGGAAGGCGGGAACAAAAGAATAGCAGTGGCTGTGGTCGTTTTCACGCCCCGTACTGGCGTTGCGATTTTTTCGCAGCATGGGGTTTTGGCGCAATTTCGGGCCCCGGGGCCCTCACAGATCGATGCGGCTCGAACACCGACGCAGAAGGATGCGGTCCGGGGCTCTCTGGGCGTGATTTCTTGCGGTGTCGGCATCATTTTTTTTCGCAGCGTCGGACCTCAGGGTGTGGCGAGTCGGTGGGGATCTGGGCTCGCCGCGCGGTTTTGGGGCTCGAGCCCCTCGCCGAGGACGTCTCGGGCGGCAGGGGGCCTCCAGGGCCCCGGACGACCCTGCGGACGACCCTACGACCACGCACCGGACGTCCTGGGCGGTGGGCCCTCCATGGGGGCCGCCTCGTCGCCCCGGCCGGGCGCAGCGCCGAGCACGGGTGCGCGCGGACCCCTGCAGGGGTCGGGGGTCCGACTTTGAGCTGCCGTTGGCTCAACGCGGCCCGGCTCCGAAGCTCGGCCCTGCTAGCGTCGGGGGCGGAAGAGAGGGGGGTGATGACTAGGGGGGGGGGATATCATGGCGTGGGCCATGACATTTCCCCAGATTTCCTGGCGCCTCTTCTCATTTCATCACATCCCTTTCCCCCACTGGGCTGCGCACGTGCCGCCGGTCATGATTTCTGCACGAGCGAGATGGGCACGGAAAGAATGGGTACAATGCTCAACAGCAGTTCCCTGTTCATTTTGAACAGGACTCGCTGTCCGCGCCGCCGCGGCCTGTGTCCACTTGAGACAGAAGGCCGCTTGCCCAACAGCGGCCGCTGTTGGTTTGGGACAACACTTGTTGTTGGGCATTGTGCCCATTCTTTCCGTACCCATTTCGGGCGTCCAAACGATTTGCACCCCCCCCCTCTTGGACACCCCCCTCTTGGACACCCCCCTCTTGGCCGCTCCCGGTACAGTCGGGGCGCTGAGGAAGGAACCCTTTTCGTTGAGGAGGGGCTCGGTGTTCCTTAGTTGTTTTGCAATTTGCCTTTGGTTTTGCTTAGGGTTTCGATGGGAAATCGAAGTTTAACTTATGGGAAAAAGAGGCCTCGTTCCTTATTTAGGGTTTCTTAGGTCAACGCCCCGACTGTAGCGAAGGGGGGAAGCGAGAAGGAGGGGGCCTTCTCAGCAGGCGACGGGGCCCTGGCGGGGCTGCTTAGAGAAGGCCTCCGGCCTCCCGAGAGAGGTGGTCTGCGTGTGCCTGCGGGGGGGGGCTCGGAGCACTTCGCGCAAGGCCGGGGGGCTGCCGAGCCTGCCGAGTCGGGGCTCAAGAGAGACGGGGGTCCATGCAAACGGGGGTCAGCCAGGGCACCGGATCCTGCAGGATCCTGCGAAGACCCCCTCTGGCTGGCCCGGGTCAGCGAGCCGCTCGTGGCCGCGAGGGGGCCGCGCATACTGGCTGACCCGGGTGTGCGAAGACCTGCGTTGCTATTTTTTTGTCCTGCATTGCAGTTTTTGGTTTCCTGCTGACCCGGGTCTGGATGGACCCGGGTCAGAAGATCCCCGACCGAGAAGGCCTTCTCCTCCTCTTTTCCCCCCCTGGGCTCGCCGCCGAGAGACGGGCTGGATGTCGGGCGCGATGCCGGGCGCGGGCAGGGTTTCGGGGGCGGGGTGGGCGCGTCAGGGTCAACTTGGTGCAGGGAGAGAAGGGTGTCAGGAGCATGTGTTCTGGTCAGTGTTCCGTCGCGGCCGCCAGCTTTTCGTCGGTTCAGGGCCTGTGCTCGGGGGAGCAGGTCCCACTCATGGTCCGTGGGACTGCTTGGCAGCTAGTGGCTTCATTTCGATCGGCTTGAGATTGTGGCCCGTACGCCCCCCCCCCCCCCGGGCTTAGGGATCAGATCGCAGCTCCCTGTGGTCTGTGAGACTTTGCCGTCCTGACAGCGTGCCGCAGGCAAGCAGGTTAACACCTACCAGCCCCACCTTGCTTACGCCCTTATAGCCCCCCCTGAGACCCCCGACGTCTTGTCTTTTCTCACAGCGTGAACCCCCAGAGGCCTCGACCCATTCCCCTTATCGTCCCGGGGCCCCGCAGGGACCCCAGTCCAGGGGGTCTGGACATCCTCCTCCCTTCCCTTCGCCCCCCCCCCCCCCTCCGTCGGAGGCGTTCGCCATCCACCACCGATCCTGGCCGGGCCCATCCCAGGCCCAGGATCCAGGGCATGCGGTCATGAGCTCTGGCTTCACGCGTAGCTCCTCTGCCTCTGACCCACCGCGCCTCGGCGCGGCACGCCAGCCACTTCCCCGCCTGCAGAGCGTAACCGTCCCGAGCCCGTTCCAGCCTCCCGCCCCGCGGAGCGGAGCGATATGCCATCAGCCTGCAGGGCATATCGTGTTGCCGGGGCCGCCGCGGCGACACGCGGAGCAAAGCACAGTTTCCTGGCCCTGCGCCCTCCTGGCCTGCAGACACGGTGGTGGTGAGGGGTGGTTAAGGGATCTGCCCAGGAGGCGCCAGACCCTCGGGGATCCCGTGTCTGGTACGGGCGGCGGTGATATCCATGGCCACTCCACAATGGGAGTTCCACCGGCTTCCAGACCCTGGATTCCTTATCCCAAGGTTTTTTGTCCACTGCCCTCACCGCAGCTGACGTCCCCAGTCCCTGCGCGGTCCGTGGTGGGTGCCCTCTGAGCTCGGGGCCGCGCAGGCCGGCGAGCAGTTCGTTGCCTGGGACGCGACGGCCGTCAAGTAGCCCCTGGCCGTGGAGTGAGCTTCCTTCGGGGAGCGCTCGGGGAGCAGCGGGCAGCTCGTGAGCCGCCCTTTAGTGCTGCCGGCCCGCTCCTCCTCCTCCTCCTGCTCCTCCTCCTCCTCCTTCTCTCCGCAGCCATTTTGGCTCAAGATGTCTGACTTTGGGGGCTCTCCAGCCCCAATGCATTGAACGGAAGCTGCTGGTCCGCAGCAAGCGATTCGGTCTTTTCAGGCGCCTGATCACCACAGGCAGCCTACTCTCGTTTCTCTGGTGGCCCCCGCAGTTTCTAGGCGCGACGATGTGGCCGCACCGGCGAACGTCTGCTCCGTGGCATCATCAGTAACTGTCCGCAGCAGGCTTCCAAGGATGACGGACACTGGCCAGCAGTGGGAGCGCGACGACGGGAGTTGCCCACCTGGCCTGCCATTCGTCCCCCCGGCGCGAGTTCAGGCACAGCGTGTCCTACCGCCTGCGCGCCCTAAGCCCGGGCGACCAGCTACTTGGCGCAAGGCTCGTGGGAAGTTTTGCTACACCGATCTGCTGGGAGCACTGCGACTGAACTCGTCAGTTTTTGATGGAAATGCCTTCAAAGGGAGACCTAAGTTTCTGTTGACCCCATCGTACTTAAGGACCACATCCCAGGAACAAATTCGAGCACCCGGCAAAGTGTCGAAACAGTGTCGAAACTGAGTCGAACGAGTGTCTCCTAGGGCCCGACACGTGAAAGCCTTCGAGTTTCGGTGCTTTCTTGATGCTCGAAATTCTGCCTGGTGCTTCAGGCTCAAGTAGGTTGGAACAGCACAAGCCCAAGTATGACGGGTCCAGCGCGAAGCACAAATCGTACGGGGCTCGTGGCTACGGCGGCTGGGTTGGAGCTCCTCTTCCTGTCGGAGTCTGCGGCCAAGTGTGCGCTCCCAGTGCTGAACCTGCGAGGGCCTTGGCGGCGGCTCTCGCTCCACCCGCGCCCGCGGAAGTACCTCCGCTGGCCTCTCCGTGCTGGAAAGATTCTCCGAAGGGCTTAGGCGACCCACCCGTCCTCCTCCCTCCTCCTCCTCCTCCTCCTCCCTCCTCCTCCTCCTCCTCCCTCCTCCTCCTCCTCCTCCTCCCTCCTCCTCCCTCCTCCTCCCTCCTCCTCCTCCTCCTCCTCCTCCTCCTCCTCCTCCATCTCCTCCTCCTCCTCCTCCTCCTCCTCCTCCTCCTCCTCCTCCGCCCCTCCCCCTCCTCCACCTCCTCCTCGGGTTGCCTACGGCCCCGGGGAAAACCGTGCACTCTGTGCCTTCTTCAAGTAACCAAGAAGTTCGAGCAGGCTTCAAGAGCGCTGGGGGAAAGAAAGGTTTCAGGTACGCTGGCTCGACGCAAGCAAGAACTGGAGGCGGCCATGGGTAAGTGGCGTGCCAGAGCTGACGATCTTGCATGGGCAGTTGTTCAGCAAGGGGCAGCGGCAAAGGAGTTGGCACTAGGAGGGGGCGCAACCCTGAAGTTGGTAAGCTTTGGACGTGCGTGTGTTCTTGGCACAGAAGGTAGAACGCAAACTATCCTTTGGTGGACTGTTCGAGGACGAGCTGGATGAAAAGGGCCAGGAGGAGTTCGAAAGGCGCAAGATGCAGTTTGATATTCAGTCCCGCACAGCCTCGGCGCCGCAGGTCAGATATATGGTCGATACGATGACAGGGCTGCAACGGACCAAGGAGGCCCTGGGGGGATGGCAGCAGGCCAAGAAGCGCAGCACATAATCTGACACTCGGGAAGATGCAAGTACAGGGTCAGGCTCTCCAGGGGATGGTGCTGGAGCTACCCAGTCGGCTCCTGCGAAGGGCTCGGGAGGCGACGGCGCGATGGCTTAGACAGCAGCAGCGTGGAGTGCAGCGGAGGCCACAACCCAGAAGTTCGAACTCGAGGTCAAGGGTGTTTGCGATCAGTCTCTGGAGGCTCAGCGTGAAGCTCAGTGTCTTTTTTCTATCCTGGAGCGGTGATCGAGGTGACTGAGATCTGATGGGGGTTCAGTGCCGTTCTTCCTTGGTCAGCGGCTTCGGGGGCGCTGGCATCAGGGGTGTCGGGTGTTAGAGCGCAAGGCCCACTGGAGGGGGCTAGTCTTTCTGGGAGTTGCGTCTGCCATGTCTTGCTAGGTGCGATCGGCAGTTCCAGGTGCCGCAGCGTCTGCGCGGCGCCCTGGGCGCAATGTCGCCAATATTATGCGGGGGTGCCTGTCGGCAGGAGCGGGGCCTCGGTGTTGGACCAGTGGGCCGCGCAGAGGTGGGGGCGGACAACTCGACGGGGGTCTCCTGCCTCTTGGGCTAAGTCATCTTCGGGCTGGGAAGCGCGGCGGGGCGACCTGGCAAATGAGATGGCGCCTGGTGCTCCAGCGTGGGTCCACAGCCTTCGGGAGGAAGCATCAAACTTTCAGGGGCGCTGGTTGAGCTGGCGCGCTCCGCGCTGCGATGTCTGCATGGGATTCGGCGCCAACGCAGGACTGAGGAGGGGGCTGGCCACGAGCCACCCAGGTTTGACTAAAGAGAAACCGCTGAGATCTGGTGCAGCTAGGCTTGGGATTGGGTCGCCCCGCATCGAGCTGTCTTGTTCGGCCTGTTGAGGGGCGCGACCGACAGATGGGGCTAGGGGGGGGGGGGCATCGTCAGGTTCCACGAGGCGATTGCGCGGGGTGCGGGCTCGAGGGGCATCCCTGTTGTCCCACGCTTGCGAGTTAGAGGTCTCTCTACGAGCCAGGGCGAAGGCGCGGGGTCGGGGGCCGCCTCCCGTGGGCCCGCAAGCGAGCGCGAGACGGGGATTTCTCTGCGCGCCTGCTGGAAGGCGCCGGGTCAGGGGCTTGCCCGGCGGGCCCGCGTGCGCCCGCCAGGGATTTGGATGCGCGCCCGCCGGAGGGCACGGGGTCGAGGGCTGTCCATGCGGACCCGCGTGTTCAATGGGGAGATTTTTCCATGCGCCGCGTGGGAGGCGCGGGGTCGAGGGCTGTCCCTGCGGGGGGAGTTTTTTTTTTTCCGCGTGCCAGATGGAGCGCGCGGGGTCGCCCCCCCCCCCCCCCAGTGGGCCCGTGGCGGGCCCCGACGAGGCCGTCAGTTGAGGAGCAGGACAATCCCTTTTTAGGTATAGCAGGGGCATGTCGCAATGGGGCCCTTCGGCGAAGAGGGTGTTATTGAGAGGCAGGTTGTTGCCGTGCTCGTGCCGGAAACGCATGGCGACGCCTTGGTGGAGGTGGGCAAGATGGGCCGGCTCAGTGTGGTTTGTCCAGCAGGCAGCCAGGCGTCTCAGTCCTCTTCATAGGCAGGTGGGTAGCTCTGGGCGTCGCTATGATCGCGGTGCAGGAAGCTCGGGATTCTGGGCCTGGCGCCGACGGCGGGTCCATGCGCAGGTGCTGTGACGAACGCTCGAAGTTGGTCAGTAGTATGCAGAGAGTGTGGCGCAGTGCCTAGCCTCGCAGAGTGCGCCGAGGAGCATTTCGCGTCCGCGCCAGGGGAGGTTTTCATGTTTGCTCGGAATGAGAACGCCATGAACGGCTAGTTCGAGCTGGGACAAGCCATGCCAACAGGATCCCATTGCCACCATAGAGACCATGGCGCTGGTGTGTGTGGGGGGGGCCGAGTGGGCGGACGGGGGCCTGGCGTGGGGCGGCGCCGCGAAGCTGGTGGGCGAGGTGCGCGCCGCGGCCCCGGAATCCCAGGTCGCAGCCTTCGGCGATGACTTGCTGATGGAAGGTGCCGGGGTGAGGAAGGGCTCCGCGGCCATGGGGCTGTGGCAGCTGGGTGAGACAGATTTGGCCTGGTCTTCTCCAGCTGGAAAAGCGGAATTGGTTCGGATGGGGTTGGCCTGGCTCGGGCAGTTCTTAGTTGTTCCATTTGCGCGGGCCAGGGGGCCTTCGGGCGATGATCGTGCGAATTGCGTTGCCGTGGGTCACGCGGGCCAGACGGGCCACGGGGCGAGCTGGATGTTGGGTCGCTGCAGTGGCAGATTCATCCCCATTGAGGCGCTATGAGGGAGTTGCATGGTCGAGACTGTCACGTTGTCTACCATAAAGGGGCGGGTGCAGGCAAGTGCGCCGCGGGGCGTTGAGGGCGTCCGCGACGCGCTGCAATTGCAATCGCCCACAGTGAAGGGCATCCAGCATCAATTCCCCCCCTCTCATCCCGGGGCTGGAGATGATCTCGCGCGTGCCGCCTCGCGCCCCGAGGGGCGCTGGGCCCTGCTCGGAGGTTGTCCAACCCTGGAACAGCGCGATTGCGGGGCTGGGTGGAGCTGTGGATCTTCAGGTGCGCCCTGTGCGACATCAAAGAGGACGCGGCCTCGGGCGCGCCGTGGATCGTGATCATGCCTTGGGCGGGCGGTGTCTCTCAGAGAACCTGGGGGGGAGGCAGAAGAGTGCTCGATTTTGCCAGGGGCACGGGGCTATGCTCTGCCCGCGGTCGCGCGGGGGCAGGGCAGGCGGCCCCCAAAACGACGACGACTGCCACCTCGTGTTTCGAGCTGGGGAACAGGGCGCCACATGGCGTTCGCTGGCGAGGGCTATGATTTGAAGCTGGACTCTGCGGGCGCAGACCTGGGCAGTGATCGTGGTCATCTTGCAGCGATGAGACTGAGGCGTGCTCTGCGTAGATGAGGCGCACGAGGCAGGCTCGCCAGGGTCAGGGGGATTGCCCGAGGAACTGTCAGGAAGCGCATCGGCACCGCAGTGGCCATGGTGGGTGTGTTGCCGATGGCGGTCTGTTCGGACAAGGTCTTCGGCGCGGCCCTCTCAGTCACGATGGCGAGGGGGAGGTGATCTGGTCGGGCGATTGCAAGAAGCGGCCTGGGAGGTGCCTCGCCGTTATCCTTCAGCTCCGAGTTGGGCGCAGCGGTCCTCGTTCTCAGGGCGGGCGTGGGGTGGTTGAATCTTGGGTGGCTCTCGTCTTCAGGCCTGGCTTTGACGAAGAATTCGCTTCATTTGTTCGGGGGGCTGCCAGGGGTCGGGTGACAGCAAAACCGAAGAAGGACTCATTGTGAAGTTTTCCTTGGGCGACCCCGGCGACGATTGCCACCTTGCCCCACGTGGGGCGGGTTCATGTTAAGCCATGGGATTGGGTAGGCGACGGCGGGGGCGGGCACCGAGCCCCGGACTCCATGTTTGGAGAGGGCCCCCGTGATATGACCGCCCTGAAGGACGCTCTATCAGAGTCTCTGGACACATCATGCTGGGGCAGAGCACGTGCGCAGTCGAATGTTAAAGGTTTAGAACAAAGAGTGGATCTTCGAGATGCCGGGCTGCTCGCCAAATCCCTGATCGCGCAGAAGAAACAGGAGCACCATGGTGGGGGCCATCGAGGCTGCTATGTCATGCGCTTCATGGGCTGGCACGCGGAGTGCGTCTCGTGGTGGGAAGTCAGGCTGGCTCTCCCTTCTGTGCCCGAGGTGCGAAGAGGTCGAGGATTTGTATGTGCATCGAAGTTTGGGCTGGAAGTGTAATGGCGAGTTCGCCATGATCTCAGCTGCCTAGGGCAATCGCGCCCAGAAGGGTCACAGGGCACCGCGTTATCAGCGGCTGCGTTGCGTGCCCCTCGGCGTCTGGATTCGAGTGGGAGACCCGCTTGACGCGCCTGCAGACGCCACTTGTGGAGAGGTGCTGAGGTTGCAGTACTTGGAGGCTCGTTGTAGGAGATGCTTCGGGAGGTGAACGCTCTGCTGATCCGAACCTGAGGAGGGCTGGCTGAGCCTGCCAGGGTGCGATGGTGACGTGTGAGAGGGGCCTGGGCCTTCGCATGTTGCGCGGGCGTGTTTTTTGGCATTGCATGGGAGCAGACCATCAGTGGAGGTGGGCTCAGGGCGCATGCGAAGGCGATTGGTGAGTTCATTGGGCTGTGTCATCTTCGCCGCGGTCTCGATCGATCTAATGTTGCCAATGGGGTGGCCGAGCTTGCTCGGGGCAGTCATCCCACGACCAGCGTCGATCTTGTGCGCAGTTTGGACGTCGCCGGCAGGGGCAGTGGGATTTTTCCGACACGTGGTCAAGGTTGAAAGCCACCGGTCGATTGAGGAGGCTCAGGAGACAGGAACACCTTTAGGGCATTCTTTGATCAACTGCATGGTGAAGGAAGTTGCCAGATTCTTGTTTGAGCAAGGGGTGGTCGATCGCGCGGTGGCGGGGTTGGTGGAGCACGCCAGGGCCATGGGGCGGGCAGTGGGGAGGCACCGGGCGAATGCTTTTCTGGCTGCCTCCGAGGCAGAGCCCGTGCGATTGTGGCCCATTCGATATGTGGCCAAGGCTCATCAACAACGTGTTCATACGTCTGAGCAGTGCGAGTGGGAGGAAGCTGTACTCTTTCTTGACGACGCCGTGCCTGGGTGGCATTGTTAACGGGCCCATCCAGAGAGTCGGTGAGGTTGGCGTTTCGGCGCGCAGCATTCCGACCCGCAGCTTTCGCATTCAGGGATATTTCGTTGACCTGGGGTTCCACGCCTGCCGTCGGCGCGGTTGCGTCGGCAAGCGTATCCTCAGAGGCTTGACCGGTCAGTGCGCGGGTGCGTTGGGTCACTGCGGAAGGCAAGCGCCCAGCAAGCGTTCGCGAGGCATTTTGCCGATGTCAAGTGTGGGAGGCAGGAGCTCGGCCGCGACTGCTGCCACTGGCGGTGCGTGCCTGCTGGAAGGGACACGCCAGTCGTTGAAAGTATGTCTTTATTGGAGTCCCCAATCCCAATCTACTTCGAGCGCCTTCCTACTTCAATAATCGAAATGCGTTGCTGTGTTTTGTTATTCGCTGGGCGGGTCCGAACTCAACCCACTTTATAGGCCTTCTACTTTCTGTTTTTGCCTGCTTCTTCCGGCCGGCGCGCGCGGGGTCGGGGGCTCCCCCCGCGGGCTCGCAAGGACAACGGCCTCGGGAAGGGGGCGTTGTGGGCTCGATCTCGCATGCCGAGGAGAGCCGAGCCCTGGGTCGCCGAGGGCCCCCGGGCAGACCCGTCTCGGCGCCCCCCGCCGTCGGGGAGGTGGGGTCGCGCGGGCGGGGTGGCCAGTGAAAAGGGCATTCAGGAGGGAACAAAAACACACAGACACAAGGATTTGTCGATCTCCAGGAAAATATGGGAAAATGTGGGAAGTGGGGGGGAAGACAAAAACCCAGAAAATATAGGAACATCTATGGATTTTTTTATGTGTGTGTATTTGTTTGTGTGCCCTGGGGCCCCTTCAGGCATGCCTCTCCTGGAGATGGCTCCGGGGCGCGCGGCGGCCTCGCTGGGGAACCCGTGCCGCGCGGGAGGTGCCAGGTCGGGGGGCTGTTCCCGCGGCCCCCACGCGAATTCGCCGAAGGCGGTCCGTGTATCTGAGCGTGCCCGAGAGGCGGCGCTCGGCGGCGAGCGAGGGCCCTGGAGGAGGGAGGAGGAGGAGGAGGAGGAGGAGGAGGAGGAGGAGGAAGAGGAGGAGGGGGAGGAGGAGGAGGAGGAGGAGGAGGAGGAGGAGGAGGAGGAGGGAGGAGGAGGAGGAGGAGGAGGAGAAGAAACAAAGGCCTTTTTCACAAGGTTCGGACGTCCCCCGGCCCCCTGAAAAGTCTTCTTAGCAAGGCGCTGGGGCTTCTGAGAAGTCCCCCGCCGCCCTCTGAGAAGGCCTTCTCCCCCTGTCATTCCCCCCCCCCTTGCTCGCCGCCGAGGTGCCGGGGTCGGGGGCTTCGAGGCGTCATCGCGGTGATGACTTCCATGGCGGTCACGTGGCGGCCTGGCTGGGGGGCCGCGTTGGCCGCGCCTCCGAGGCGCGCCTGGCACGACTCCGCGGACCCGCGTGTGGGCGCTGGAGGTTTCTCTGTGCGCCCCGGGGCGGCCCCGGGGGTCGGGGGCGCTCCCCGCGGACCCGCCGCGCCGCCGCGCCGCCGCGCCAGTGGCCGAGCTGGCCGGCGCGTCCTCCTTTCTCCTCCCTCCTCCTCCTCCTCCTCCTCCTCCTCCTCCTTCGTCCTCCTTCCTCCCTCCTCCTTTCTCCTCCTCTCTCCTCCTCCCTCCTCCCTCCTCCCTCCTCCTCTCCTCCCTCGTCCTCCTCCTCCCTCCTCCTTCCTCCCCCCTCTCTTCTTCCCTCCTTCTTTCTCCCTCCTCCCCCTCCTCCTTTGGCTCGCTGGACCCCCCTCCCTGGCGCGCTCCGCGCGCCAGGGAGGGGGGTCCAGCGCCGATCCGAGAAATCCGCGCGGACCTCGGAGTTTTGATGTTTACGCCACTTTTTGTTCCCTTATGTGCGTCCTGGGGAGGGTACCTTTGGGCGTCCTGTTTGTTCTGGCAGGTGGAGGGTCTCATGTTCTCGAGAGATGCTCTCCTTTCCCAGGTCCGGCTTTGGCGAAATACTTTTCCTCTTATTTGTTTGTCGCCCTCCTTCGTTCCTCCTCGTCCTGCCCTTTTTCCCTCTCGGTCTTTCTCCCTCTTCCTCCTCCTCCTCCTCCTCCTCCTCCTGTTGCTGCTTTTCCTCCCTCGTGCCTCCCATTCCTCGTAGTTCGGTTCGAGGTTGCTGATGCTGTGCCCTCGTCTTGCTGCCATCGCGCCGCGATCTCAATGCTTCGTCGGTTGCATCATGGCCACATCCTGGTTCTCCCCTGCCACTGCGTCCTCCCCCGCCAGCCACCCAAGTGCTCACCCTCCTCCCCCACTCGCCCCGGACCTGCGCCAGAGCAGGGGTTTGCACCCCTCGCTCGCGCGCGCGGGTCGTTCCGTGGCTGTTCCAGGCGCCCGGCGGCCGCTCTAGAGGGGCGGCGACGCCGGCCGGGGCGCTTGGCGTCTGCACGCGCGTATGCGGCGCCTCGATGTGCAGCTGGACGGCTCATGCCGCTGCGTCTGGCACGCCTCCCCGTCCCCCCCTCGCCGGGGTCCACTGCCCGGCCGGTCGCTCCCGATGCCTGCCCTCCCTCGTCCTCTGGCCTGCTCCTGCGAGCCTGGGCCTCCACCGATGCCTCGCTTTCCCTATAGGAGCCGGGCCTCGGTCCACGCGCGCGCGCAGCTCCAGCGCCCCCCCCCCCCCCCCCCCAGAGAGTGTCTGTTCTTGGCCGGATGATCCAGTCATGTCCGAGGCCCGAAAGCCATCACTTCACTAATTTTGGTCCCCAGGGCCCACTGAGGCCCCAGGGGCCCCAGATTAGTGAAGTGATGTCTTTTCCTACGTAAGGACCCCGAAATTCATCACTTCACTAAATCGAACCCAGGACGCAAGTCAGGGGCCGAATTGCTGCTGTGATGCAACATCGGTCTCGTATCATGGGTCCACTCGGAGGACGCGTAGTGGGGGGCGCCAAGTGACGGCGGCAGCGTGGGCCGCAGAAAAGGGGCCCCCTCAGGGCCCCGGAGAGGGGGCCCTTCTGGGGCAGAGCGAGTGTTTGTGCTGGACTCGATGATCCAGGCAGGGATCCACGGCCCGTGGTCCTGCCGGCTGGCCCGTGCCCCATCGCACTGGATGGCTCCGTCGCCTCGCTCGAACATATCCCAATCCCTAAGATTGACATGCCAAAAAGCGATGACAATCTTAGGGATGCGCCCTCAAAACATACGGGAATCCCTAAGATTGGCATCGTGATGAGGAGATGCCCAGCATAGGGATAGGGATATGTTCCAGGCTGGTAAGGCGCGTGCTTCTTTTCTCTCGGCGAGGGCCTTCGAGGAGCAGCCCCGACCAGCGGGCCAGCACAACCACGCACGAGACCGACAAGTGCACGGGGGAGTTCCCTGTGCATCCGTCGGCTTCGGGCCGCCTGCGGCGCCGAGGGCGCGAGGGTACGCTCGCGCTCAGGGGGGGGGAGGGCGCCCAGCCCGACAGCAAGTGCCATGACGAGCGCCCCGGCGTCCCCCCGCTGCCGTTTTGGGCTCTCGGGCGCTCCCTGAGCACTCACAAGCACAGGCACGACACACACACGAGCGGCACCCGTGGCCCCGACCCGAGACTCTCGTGGCATTCTCGCGTTCCAGAGGGGGCGTTCCGCAAGAGCACGGAGCTCCTGCCTGGCGGCCCCACCGGGCCGCCTAACACTATGAAATCCCACCGGCTGTGGCCTTGACCGCCAGAAATAATTTCGAGCACCAGGAAAGGACCGACACCTGAAGGTTTTCACGTGTCGGGCCCCGGGCGGCGATATGCTCGTGCGACACGGTTTCGATCCTTTTCTGGGTGCTCGAGACTCTTCCTGGCATGGGGTCCTCAAGCACGACGGGAACAGCAGAAGGTTAGCATTAAGTCGGGCGTGTTCCCCTACAGGGGGATTCGCGACGACAAATAAAACATATTCAAACAAAATACCAAAGGTTCAAAAAATACTCGACACATAGTGCCTGGACTATTAAAAAAAAAACTTGTTTGGAATATTCCCCCCAGTAGAGGGACAGGCCCGACTTAAGCCTAGCACGGGGAAGGGGCGTCCGAACGACGGCGAGCCGCGGCCGTGGCGCCGTCCGAAGCACAGAGGGGGCTGCCACGGCCGCGCCCGCCGAGGCGGTCCTTCATCCGCTGCTGGGCGGGCGGAGGGCCTGCCGCCACACAGAGGGCGCAGGGACACACCCGCGCACCTCGGCCTTGCACGAGAGTTGTATGCTTCGGTGCTCGTTTTGGGCACCCTCCTGGGGCCCACCTTGCGGACCCGTTCGACTCCGGTTCGGCTCAAGTTCGACGCAGGTTCGACGCAGGTTCGACGCAGGTTCGACGCAGGTTCGACGCAGCTGCGACGCAGGTTCGACGCAGGTTCGACGCAGGTTCGACGCAGCTGCGACGCAGCTTCGACGCAGCTTCGACGCACAAGTGGAGCGAGTGGCTCCAGGAAGGTCCCCAGAATGAGAATCTAAGTATGCACGCCGGTCGTTGAAAGTAGGTGTTCTTGAATTCCTAGGGTCCAATCTACTTCAGCATCGCTTGGCCGAGCCCTCTCCCCATCCCCACCCACACCTCGAGCCCCACCGCCTCGCCACCTCAGTTGGGGAAATGTGCCCCTCGAAGCCCGAAGAGAGCAGCCTACATGCCCATCAGGGGGGTACATCGGCCAGCCTAGGCTGGTGGGGATGGGGATCGAATAAACGTTGCTCAATACTCTAGGCGCAGTCCTACTTCAGGGTTCGAACGATCTTCCCTTGGCCTTCGTCTTCAGGGGGCGGGCGGAAGTCCAATCTGCTTCCAACGCCTTCCTACTTCCCACTGACGGGTCCCGTGCTCCTGGTTTGGTCGCGTACAATCCATCTGCCCGCGGCAGTCTGAATCCTGCGGCAATTCAGCGATTGGTCTGAATTGGTGAGGGTCGTGATCTCGACCTCGTCTTCGTCCGCGCGGCAGGGAGGATGAGGAGGAGGAGGAGGAGGAGGAGGAGGAGGAGGACGAGGAGGCGAACATGATGACGAGGAGGAAAAGGCTTCTTGGGGCTCTCTTGAGGTTTCCTAGGGGCCTTCTGTCTCTTGAGGCCTCTTGGGTGCCTCCTGGGGCCTCTCGGGGAACTCTTGGGGTTTCTTGGGCCGTCTTGGGGGACGATTGCGCCGTCTGACGCCTTCGAAGGCCGTCTTGGGGACCTCGGGGCCGTCTTGGCGCCCTCTTGGAGCGCTCAGGTCGATCTTTGGGTTCTCTTGGGCCGACTTGGGTCCCTCTTGGGCTGTCTTGGAGCTATCCTGGAGGCCTCTTGGAGGCCTCTTTGGCCGTCTTGGGTGGCCCGAGACCCAAGCAGGCCAGAACCTCAACACCCTTCAACCGCATATGGAACGTCAATGGCTTTTGCTGCCTCGTGCTCTCCAGGAGTGCCTCTTGGAGCCGTCTTGGGCCATCTTGGGGGCCCTTTGAGGTGCCTTGAGGCCGTCTTGCGAGCCTCTTGACTCGTGACCCTTCCTGGGAAATCTTTGGCCGCCTTGGTGTCATCTTGGCTGCCGTGGAAGCCGTTTCGGAGGCCAACTCGGCCGTCTGCAAGCCGAACAGAAAGCCAGAGAGCAACTTCAGGGGGGGCGCGGTTTTCGGCGGGCGCGCGCTGGGAGGGTGGGGGGCTGAGGAGGGGCGGCCCGGGAAAGCTCGAGCAGCAACTCCCGGATACCAGACGCGCCCCTTCCGTGCAGGAAACGGTGGCGCATCTGGCCGGGCGTGGCAGTCCCAGCTCTGGACGATTTGTTTGACCATTTTTCAGTACTTTAGGGCATTTTTTTTATTATTTTTTATTGCGAAGGCCTTACGGCCGGTGCCGCCGACCCTGAAGACGAAGCTGTCTGTGACGCCGTGAAGGCCGAAACGTCGTATATGCTAGAAGTGTACGTTTCCGATGGGAAAGTAATGAGTGTGGCCTCTTGGGCCTTTCTTGGGGGTGCTCTTGGAGGGGGCCTGGGACGTCTTGGAGGCTTCTTGGACGGTCTTGGGGCTATCTTGGGCGTCTTCGGCCGATCTTTGGGCGACTCGGGGCACTCTTGGGCCGTCTCGGGGGCCATCTTGGGCATTCGGACCTCATTTGGAGTGTTTTCGAGGTTTCGAGGCCGCCCGAGGAAAAACAATCTGCCCCCCCACCCACCCCCCCCCCCTCCCCCACCCCTGGCGGGACCCCCCCCCCTGGGGAAGGGATCAAAGGGAAGGGGCTTCCCTTCGAATCGACAACGGCATGACGGCAGGAGGGTACGGCCCAAAAAGAAAAAAGGGGGAAGGAAGAAGGGGGGGCGGCGAGGAACGGACGATGAAGCCCCTCGCACACGCCGACAGGGTCGGCGGATTTTTCGTCCAAAATCCCCCTGTAGGGGGACACGCCCGACTTAAGGCTACCCTTGCATCCCTGCCCCTTCGATATCCGGCATCCCTTCGGCACCCTGCGCTGCGCTCCGCACGGAACAGCGTCCACGTGGCGTTCCAGGGCCCCCTTTGCATCCTTGCCGCGCACCCTTGCTGTCCTGGTCCTGGGTGCACCCCTGCCCCTTGCGGAGAAAGCGAGGAGGAGGCCCTGCCTGGTTCGCCTTCCGGCATGCCCGTCAGGCCCCCCCCGCCCCGTGCTGCAGGCCCGGAGGCTGCACGCCGCAGCATCGAGGCGCCGCCTGCTTGCACGTGCAGCGCCACTCTCGCCGCACTTGCGACGGCGCGCCCCGTGAGCCGCTGCCGGACAATCGTATCCGCAGCTCGCCAATGTGAGCAAAGGTCGGCTGCTGCGGGAGGGAGAGAGACAGAGAGAGAGAGAGAGAGAGTCACGCATTCATGTACATACACACGTATATAGAGAGAGAAAAAGAGAGAGAGAGAGAGAGAGAGAGAGAGCGAGAGAGAGATAGGGAGAGAGCGAGAGACAGGGAGAGAGAGATCTAGCCACACATATGTGTATATACCGAGAAAGAGAGTTAGAGAGAAACAGAGATAACATATATATATATGTATATATATGGATATGGATATATATATATATGGATAAATATATTTTTAGAGAGAGAGAGGGAGAGACCGAGAGGGAGAGAGGGTTGTGGGGCGAGAGAGAGAGAGAGAGAGAGAGAGCGAGAGAGAGATAGGGAGAGAGCGAGAGACAGGGAGAGAGAGATCTAGCCACACATATGTGTATATACCGAGAAAGAGAGTTAGAGAGAAACAGAGATAACATATATATATATGTATATATATGGATATGGATATATATATATATGGATAAATATATTTTTAGAGAGAGAGAGGGAGAGACCGAGAGGGAGAGAGGGTTGTGGGGCAGGTGATCTCTACACCAGTTTTCAAGTGTGTGGGATGGGGTTCTCTGTAGTGTTGGACTGGTATCGGCCTCTCTTGTTGTGGTAGTTCTGGCGGGCCCACATCGAAGACGCCTACGGCGAGTCACTGCCGCCCCCTGCGTTTCTGGGAACGCCTATGTAGCCAAACAGTGGACCTGAGTTTGGCCAAGATGCTGGACTATGTGTTGACCCAGCCGTTGTGGAATCCATGTTGGAGAAGGCTTGGGGAGGAAAGCGGGGACAAATAGGAGGGAACGGTCTCGTGCTTTCTTGGGCCCTCTTGGGGCCGTCTTGGAGGGGTCTTGGGATCGTTTTGCACACCATATAGGGTAATAGTTGCCATCTCGGGTTCATCTTCGTGGCCATCTTCGGCGTCTTGGAGGCAGATTCAGCTCCTTTCTGTTTCGCGCAGGTGGCTTATATGATCGGTCGAGGGCCACAGGGACAGTTCTGAAGGACCAACAAGTACTCAAGGGCCTGGCAAGCCAAGCATCCCTTGGTAAGCAACAGGGGGCGGCGGATCTTGCAGCCATCTTGGGTCTTCTTGGGGCCACATCGGCCGTTTTGAAGGTCATTTTCGCAGTCTTGGGGAAGCATGCTAGGTCATGTTAGCCGTCTTGGAGGCCATCTTGGCAGTCTGGAGGCCGTCTCAGGGCCGTCTTGGGGACCTCTTGGGTCGTTGTTGGGTCATCGTGTAAGCCTTTTGGACTTCTCGAGGCGGTCGGGATTTCGAAACAAGAACAACGCTAGCCATCTGGGGGTTTGGAGAGCCCCCACAGCTCCTGTGAGTTTCCCCTCCTGGGCCCCTCTTGGGTGCCTCTGGCGAGCCTCGTGGGCCCCTCCTGGCACCGCGGGGTCCGCTTGGGGCTCTCTCTTGGGGGCCTCGTGGGCTTTTTTGGACGCCCTTCAGACCGAAGAGTGGAGCATACGAAAGTCATGCAACATCCGACGGTTCCTCCTCCTCCTCCTCCTCCTCCTCCTCTTCCTCCTCCCTCCTCCCTCCTCCTCCCTCCTCCTCCTCCTCCTCCTCCTCCTCCTCCTCCCTCCTCCTCCCAATCACTCTTGCCCCTTTGGCCAGCCCGCAGGGCCCCGCAAGGCGGCCCCAGCAAAGCCCCCGAGGGCGACCCAGGACGGGTCCTTCCGGGCCAGCGGCGCGACGCAGGGCCGCGGGGTCGGCTGAGCGGACATTTCGGGGGTGGACAGACCTCCTACCCTGACACGTCGATTAAGGAATTGGCCGTTCTCGGTTCGCGAGAGGGCGACGCGGCCGTCATTTTTGCGGGTCCAGGTCCGTCGGTTTCGGTCCCAGGCCGTTTTCATTAAGGGGAGGTCTACGAAAGGGAGGTTTGTCCAGCGCCGAACATTGGCGCGCAAGCTTCCCGCGTGAGCGCCCCCCCTCTCCACGCGGTGTGTGCCGTGCTGGCGGCCCGCGGCAGCCACCGCGCAAGGGAAAGGCAGCCACTGCATCGGAGGCCCTCTTCCCTTCGGCGCTCCAGCTGCGGACGCGTGGGGATTTCGGGGTCCCCCACTCGCGCGCCCCAACTGACGAACCAACAACACACACCCGTACCCATAGGGGGGTCGGAGAGGGCTATGGGTGCGTGTTGTCGGATGGGGGTCCCCGCTCGAAGGGGAGCGTTCCCTGGGGTCCGACAACCCGCACCCATACCCATAGCCAGTCCTCCTCTCAACGACCCCCCTATGGGTATGGGTGTGTGTTGCTCGTTCGTCACCAACGACCTCGGGGAGAGTCGCGCGCCGCAGACTCGGAGATGCGTCAGTAGGGGGGGAGAGTCGCGCGCCGCAGACTCGGAGATGCGTCAGTAGGGGGGGCTCGAGCCCGCACACATGGAGCACTTGCAGTCGATAGTCCAGAGGCCCAGATCTCCACGATGCAGTGGGTGTTTTTTCCTTCGATTTCGGCCTCTGAGATCCCGTTGTCGGGCACTGGGGCAACTAACAGCTGTTCTGGGTCGAAAAAGCTGAACCTGGGGAAGGGGTCGGGACCTCTGGGGCCGCGCATTGAAAAGCCCAATCGTCGGATGTCTGGGGTGCTCGGCGGTACCTGAGGACACGCCACCCAGTGCCTCGCGACACGGTGACGGATAAGTCGAGGAGCCAGGGAGAGAGTGCCGCGCCACAGATGCCGACCGGATGAGGGCCGGGGTGGCACTCAGGAGTGACATGAGAAGCGACCTCATTCGCTGCAGTGTGTGCAGAGTCCCCGAGGTCTGGGTATCGCTCGGACGTGTGCGCTTTTTCTCGGCGGGGATTAAGAAGGAGCATCCTGGATCATCCTGCGGAAAAAATCACGCACGAAACCGAAAAAAACACAGGGAATGGACGTCCGAGCGACGGGGAGAGGTAGTAAGTCGGTGCGCTCGATTTTCCGCTACTGCCGACATCGAAGACGGTGCTGGTGTCGCCGACGCTGCCACCGCGATGGCCACGGCAATCGCCGCAGCCGCTCTCGCCGCCGCCGTCGCCGCCGACGCCATTCGCCGCCAGAGCTGCCGTCGCTCGGCTGGCGCTTCGAGCGGCCTGGGCCCCGTGGTGTGCGGTCTGCGGGCCGCCGTCGTGCCTCCCTTCGGCTCTCTCGTACCATCTCTCTCCTTCGGCAGCAGATCTCGAAGAAGAGCAAACGCCACAAACATAAACCCAGACATGCTCGCGTCGTGAAAAAATCAGGACGGGAGGTTTTTGGCTATTTTCGACCCTCGGGGGCCCTCGCCGGGCCCCGGGACCGTCAAAAAGCGACTCCGGATGAGAAACCGGTCCCGGGGAAAGGGTCGGGCTTTCCAGGGACGCCGTCCTGAAAAAAGTCAGGACGTCGCATGTCTGGGAACTCTTGCCGCTCCGCGCGGATTTCTTGGATCCGCGCTGGGCACCCCCCCCCGGCGGCGCCTCCGGCGCCGCCCCTGGCGCGCTCCGCGCGCCGTGGAGGGGGGTCCGGCGCGGATCCAAGACATCCGCGCGGAGCGCCAAGAGTTGATTCCCCAGTCAGAGCTTGCCTCTGTAGGGGTCCTGGCGGATTCATATGGTTAGGTGAGGTGCGTCGCCGATTTCGGTGGCCGGGTGCCCGGGTGCCTGGGTGCCCGGGTGCCCGGGGGTGCCCGGGGGGGCGGTTGCCCGGGGGGGCCCGGGGGGGCCCAGAGGTGCCCGGGGGTGCCCGGAGGTGCCTGGGGGTGCCCGGGTGCCCGAGTGCTCTCTCGCCCTGTAGCCCTGTAGCCTTATAGCCCAATAGCCCTGTAGCCCTATAGCCCTACAACCCTATAGCCCTATAGCTCTATAGCCCTATAGCCCTATAACCCTATCGACCTATAGCCCTATAGCCCTATAGCTCTATAGCCCTGTAGCCCTATAGCCCTATAGCCCTATAGAGCCCTAGCCCTCATGGCCTTCATAGCCCTCGCAGGCTTCATAAGCCTAAGGAGCAGATACA